AAACCATCAGCAATAAACAAGGTGATGCTGATGAAAAAGCTGTTCAAATTGCAAATAGAGGAGCAAAATTCAGTGGCTGATCATCTCAACGATTTCAACCAACTCACGACGCAGTTGGCATCGGTGGATATTTCGTTTGATGATGAGGTAAAAGCCCTAATCTTGCTCTCATCATTGCCGGACAGTTGGGACGTGGTTGTTACTTCGGTGAGCACTTCTTCTGGCAAGGAGAAGATGAAGTTCGACAACATAAGAGATATGATGTTGAACGAGGAGACCCGCAGAAATCAGGCGGCTGGGTCGTCTGGCTCAGCCCTACATACAGAGTCTAGAGGGAGACCCGAAACACGAGGGAAAATCCGTGGGAGGTCAAAATCCAGGGGAAGGAATAAAGGCAAGAAAGAGATGGTGTGTTGGAACTGCGAGAAGCCTGGGCATATGAAAAGCGAATGCCGGGCACCAAGGAAAGACAAAGAAGGCCGGACAGCCAATGTCGCGATGGAGGACACGGCGGATGCACTCTTGTTGAGTGTGAGAAGCTCGCTCGATGACTGGATCGTGGACTCAGGGGCCTCATTTCACTCATGCAGTAACAGAGACATCATGGAGTCATACACTGCAGGTGATTTTGGCTTGGTATATCTTGCAGACAACAAATCCCTAAAAATTGTAGGGAAGGGAGATGTGCAGATCAAGTCCGGAAATGGGTCATGTTGGACCCTACGTGATGTGAGACACATTCCAGGACTGAAGAGAAATCTCATCTCAGTTGGACAGCTGGACAATGACGGCTTCCACACAATGTTTGGAGACGGAAAGTGGAAGGTCAGCCGAGGAGCTATGACTTTGGCAAGAGGGCTGAAGTCAGGAACGCTTTACACGGCGAGTAGATCCAGCTCGAACATTCTCCTGGCAGGAGCTGTCTCACAATCGCACTTGTGGCACAGTCGTTTGGGCCACATGAGCGAAAAAGGAATGAAGGTACTAAAGTCGAGAGGACTTTTGCCCGAGTTGGAGTCAGTGGACGTGGGTCTCTGCGAGCAATGCGTGCTTGGAAAGCAGAAGAGAGTGAGCTTCATAACCACCGGGAGAGCTCCAAAGACAGAAAAACTGGAGCTCGTGCACACTGAATTATGGGGGCCAGCACCGGTGACATCTCTTGGAGGATCGATGTACTACATGACGTT